CCCCCCACCCCAATTCAATGCAACTTTTAAGTGGTGGAAAATGATATTTATGGATCCATGTATTTTATTCTTTGCAGATGGATACAGAAAAAGAGGAAAAGGAAGGTAAGGAAGAGGAAGGAATGAAGGGAGGAAAGGGGGAAGGAAGGAAAGAAGGGTGGAAGGAAAGAAGAAAGGGAGGAAGGAAAAAAGTAAAAGAAAAAAAGAAGGAAGGAAGGAAAGAGAAAGAAGGAAGGAAAGAGAAAGAAGGAAAGAAAGGAAAAGGAGGGAAGGAGGAAGGGTGGAAGGAAAGAAGAAAGGGAGGAAGGAAAAAGAAAGGAAGGAAAGAAAGAGAAAGAAGGAAGGAAAGAACAAGGAAGGGAGGGAGAAAAGGAAGGGCGGAAGGAAAGAAGGGAGGGAGGAAGAAAAAGAAAGAAGGAAGGAAAGAAAGAAAGAAAGAAAGAAGGAGTGAATGAATGAATTTTAAGGTATTTCCCAGCATTTTATGGACTTAATTTCTCTTCTGCGATTCCCAGCTCCAAAATGTGGCTATCTCAAAGGAAATGAGGTTCTCATTTCACTTCTGGATCGTGTCAAACCTGAAGTTCGTGAGTTTAAAGAAAAATGCATTTTGGTAAGTTGGCAAAGGGGGCCTCTTCCCTCCCTCAGTTTCTTGGCCAGGAAGTTCCTTGCGGTTGTGCATCGGATGAAAAACGATGTGATTTTTTTTTTTTTATTCCTGCAAAATCGCTTCCATCTTCTTTCTCCTGATTTCCCCATCAGGTCACAACCTGGATCCAGTTCATGATCCCCAAAATTGAGGATGGCAACGACTTCGGGGTTGCAGTTCAGGTACATAACGGAGTAACGGAGACTTTCTCCGCCCTCTCCCAAATTTTTATTTCTCTGGCTGTGGGAATCTCCTTTGGTGTCACATCAACCATTTTCCTTCCTGTGCAGGAGAAAGTGCTGGAACGTATCACAGCGCTGAAGACCAAAGCTGATGCTTTCCAAACCACCATTGCTAAGTAAGTGGTCATGAAGGGCGGGCGTGGGAAGGAGGCAAAGCAGAGAGCCACGTGGGATCTGGATTCCAGAGTATCGTGAATTGTGTGCTATAACTCGGGCGCCATTCGCTCCTATTGGTGTTTCTCTCCACCCCAAAACTTCTGTCAAACTTCATGGGGTCATCTCCCACGTCCCTAGCATCATAATTATCAGAATCTGTGCTTCTTGGGGCATATCATGGTCAGTTCTTCCTTATTTGCAAGCATCCTGGGTAATCTTTTCCTTGGTCAAGGTGCTATTGTGGCCTGTTGGCCGCTGGTTGCTCCAGCAGCAGAATCAGGAGGTGGAGGAAGGGGGAAGAGTGAATGGTGCTGGCAGAGAGAGAGAGAGGGGCAGAGCCTGGGCCTTCCATCAGCCCTCAAGTGGAGAGTCAACAGCCCCCAGGTCTGGAGGTGGCTGATGAGAAAGAGGAGGAACAGCTGGGTCCAGGGCCTGACATGCGGATGTATGGAAGGCAGAGGAGAGGAAAGCAGTGGAAATCTATGGGCCGGTCCTTGGGACGGAAGAACCACCGCTGCTAACGAAGGGATTATGGGATCATTAATAGATGATGATATAAAGGACTCCCTTTGTGTTTTTCATCTAGAAGGTTCATGGCCGTATATTTTTATTTTCTTTGTAGGCACTAGTCCAGAGAAAACTAGTTTGGTGTGTAGTTAAAGCACTAAGCTGGAAACTTGGGCGATTGTTAGTTCTAGCCTTGCTGTATGCATGAAGCCAGCTGGATTATCTTGGGCCAGTTGCGTGCTCTTTCTCTCTCTCTCTCTCTCAGCCCTAGGGATGTAAGGGCAAATGACTTTCAAAACACTTGTCAAGAAAATGGCAGTGATTTGCAACACATATTTAAAAAATCCCCCAGTCCTAAATGCTGTAGATCCAACATACTTTCTTGTTCTTTTAGATATTTTTTGGAGCGTGGCGATGCGGTCGCCAAGGCTTCCAAAGACACTCATGTGGTAAGTGATGCAGAAAGAAGGTTGCAGTTATTTGAGGTTTGTTGGGTGGCAGGTCTGATAGAAAAAATGTGGGTGTCCCCCTCCCCTGCTGACTAAAGGCAGGGAGAAGACCTTCCTTGAAGCCAAACCAGCTGGTATTGACTGAGAAGGCAAAAAAAAAAAACAATTCCATATTGAGTCAAGACCTTGAATAACTCGTTGCAAAATTTACATAATAGTTCTTGGAAATCCTGCAATAATTATTCCTGTTCATAAAGTTCCTGCCTCATATAGATTTTGAACTGCCCAGACTCATTGGAGTCAGGCAGTGTACAAATTTAAATAATAATGGACGATGACAACTCTTGAAACTCTGTTCTTGCTTAACCGGTTCCATCATGATATTTTAAATAAATCAAACTCTTTGGACTTGGAGAAATGTTAAGCTGTAAACCTTGATTTCTGAACCAGTTTCTGGATTTACATCATGCGCTACATAAAGCCAGTCAAACTAAGCTATGTCTAGAAATGTCCTGGAAATCTAACCTGGTTGTAATTTGTGGGGTCCTTTTGGTCTCTGAGCTTGGTTGCTTTCTTGCAGACTTTTCATGACCCAACTAGGTAACATCATCAGGGCTAGGAAGGAGTGTGGGAGTAGAGGACGAGAAAGACGAAGAGAAAAACTGTGGGGTCCTTGGTGCTCGCTTGAGCTTAGTTGTTTTCTTGCAGGCGTTTCATTACAGATAATCCTTGACATACAACCACAATTGAGCCCAAAATTTCTGTTGCTAAGTGAAACATCTGTTGAATTTTGCCCCAATTTACAATCTTTCTTACCACAGTTGTTAATTGTTCAGCTGGTTACATGGTTGTTAAGTGAACCTGGCTTTGTCGGAAGGTCATAAAAAGTGACCACATGACCCCAGGACACCGCAATCGTCATAAATATGAGTCAGTTGCCGAGCATCTGAATTTTGATCAGGTGACCATGGGTATGCTGCAATTATCGTAAATGTGAAAAATGTCTGTGTTTTTCAGCGTTATTTCGAACGGTCATAAAACGAACTGTTGTAAGTCAAGGACTACCTGCACTCAAGTAGGTAACATTATCAGTGCTAACTAGTTGCAATTTGCTTACCTGCAGATGGACTACCGGTGTTTGGTTCATGAACGTGATGAAGCCATTTACCGAGAAATGCAGATTATGGTGCTTGATATCCGTGGATTTTATGTAAGTGAGCCAGAACGATCATAGTGGATTTCTATGAGGAGAGGATCAAGAAGGCAAGGATAAAGGAATGGAGAAGATTTCTTTCTTTCTCTAACCCTTTCTCATTTCTCTTCGCCGCAGGCTGAGCTGTACCACATCCTAAGCAAAAATTTGGAGAAATTGACCAACCCCAAGGGTGAAGAAAAGCCATCCATGTACTAACAGGGAAAGAGGCATTTAAGGGAAAACAGGCAAGGGATGTTATGTGGGTCAATTTACGCTAATAATAGAATTTGCCAGAATCCGTGACCGCTGTTCCTTGCAGGGGAAGCTCAATGCAACCTTTTCTGTTTTTTGGGGGGAGGTTGTTGGGTAAACATAAAAATACAGGGTTAAAAAGAGATCTTATTATTTAGAACCCAGAAGAAGGGAGATGTCTGGGAAAGAAGCAAATAGGGTAACAAAATAAAATGTTTCAATCAATTTGGTTTTCTCTATGTCTTCTTATGAGAGGTCCATCAAACACCATCTTCTAGGCAAAGCTAGAAGGAAATCTTTCTCAGCCAGAATTTTTTCTCTAACCGCTATTTTAAAAGAGTTTTCATGGTAAGAATACACAAGCTTATTATCATATTATCTCCGGAAGATTGTTCTAATCAGGTTAATAGAGGTTATCTCTGCCTGTGTTCAGAATAAAAATCAGTAAAAAAAAAAATCTAACATGGAATCTGAAACAAGAGTGTTTTAAAATACCGTCCTCTGAATTAACATGTCTGATTAATATGTTGTTTCAAATAAATTGCTAGATGGTCTAATTAATTTCCCTTGATACAGCCAAAACTATTTTTGCCTTGATTTTTCCTGATGAATATTAAAATATAAATACTTATATATTCCCCTCCTAAGAATAGCAACTGTCTGTGAGTAGTTTGAGAATGGAAAAATAAGGAAGTAGCTTGTGGGTGGATTAAACAGTCCTTCCTCAAGCACTAGTTAGCTGTTGGGGTGTAAGGCGTCAATTTCTTGAGAGAGTCATCTGGCTTTTGACTAGCCCAATTTCCAATTCTTAAAAATGCTTTAAAAAGAAGTTGTAACCTGAAGTCGCCTTGACCAATGTCATGAAACATCTTGATCAACAAGATGCCAAAAGGAAAATGGGAATTAGGACACAGAAAGCTGTAGAAATCATCTTCCATTTGTGTTTTGAAAAATGAAGTTGTGCTTAGAAATCATATGAAACCATCATTTTAAAGCAGTGTTTTTCAGCCTGGGCAAGTTTTAAGAGGGATGGATTGCAACTCCCAGAATTCCCTAGCCAGCCATGTTGAGTGGGGGATTCTGGGAGTTGGAATCCACTCATCTTAAAAGTTACCCAGGTTGAAAAATACTGCTTCATTTTTTTTTTCATAGGTGACTTGATTAAGCCATTTTCAAGCTTTGCGCCATACATTAAATGCACTAGGCATACATTTAATGTCTAAATAACTAAAAAGGGACTATTTTGTGGAAATTTCATCAGGGTTTGGCAGTTTTAAACAGCCTAAAGCTGAAAAGGTGCAGCTTTTCTAGATATGACAATATGCTTCAGAAAGCTCCATCTGTTAGCATTTATAACCCCAAATTGACACAGTTGGACTCGGGTTCACTACATCATTTCAGAGCAGTGGTTGATGGGGGGGGGGGCGTGTTTAGGGCTGTCCAAACTCTATGGATTTTGCCCAAAGAAACCATTCTGTAAGGCTACTCTATGGTTCCGGGACAGCAAAGAGGAGACTGAAAGGAAGAGTAGAAAATACTTCCGGTAAATACAGTTCTAGATTGTACGTCTATGGTCGAGCCTCTTTCTGCAGGGGAAATCCCGAGTGAAAGAATCATAGAATCTCCATAGACACATAGAGCGGACGTTTTCCCGTCTGCATTTGGAGAGGAGGAAGGAGAAGGCAAGGTCAATTGAAGACCGGAAATGATCGAAGGGCGACGACGATGTGGCTCCTCGTATTGTCACATGGTATGGCAAAGAACGTTAGGGCGCGTCAGTTGAAAGTAAAACTTCCGGCCAATCAGAGCGCGAGCTGAGTGCGCCCAATGAGCGAGAGAGAAAGAGAACCGGGCGGCCGCGGAAGCTGTGTTCTGATTGGATTCTTCCTGACCAATCCGGAGGCGCTCAGTGGGTCATTCTGCAATAGGCGGAGTGGCAGCAGTCTGGCACCTGCGCAGGGAAGGTGAGGGGGGGGCGGGTAAGTGTGTGTGTGTGTAGGACTACTGCACCCATCATCCTCGGGTTGGCTGTGAGTGATGGGGGTTGTAGTTTGTGATCAGTGACTGGAGCAATCTGAAGATCCGGAAGGGGGAATTCAGTGGACTGCTTCAGTGACGGCTCACATTGGAGGTTGCCCAACGCTGGTTATGTTATGTTATATTATATTTATATTATATAAATATAATATTTATATTATTATTAATATTTTTATATAATAATATAATATAATATATTTTAAATATTGTAATATATTTTATAATATATATTATTATTTATTAATTATATTATATTTTACTGTTATATATTATTATATTTTATATTATAATTTTATATTTTATATTTTATGTTATAATATTTTTATATTTTATTTTTTTATATTTTATATTATATTATACTATAATTTATTATATTATACTATATTTTACATTAACATAATACTATACAGCTAGTCCTTGATTTAACAACCACCATTGAGCCCAACATTTAAGTTGCTAAGTGAGACATTTGCGAAGTGGGGTTTGCCCCACCTTACGACCTTTCTTGCCACAATCGTTAAATGAATCCCTGCAGTTGTTAAGTCAGTCACACGGTGGTTAAATGAATCTGGCTTTCTCGTTTACTCTGCTTGTCAGGGGGTTGCAAAAAGGGACCAGGTGACCCCCGCGGGACACTGTAACTGTCATACGTACATCCTAGATGCCAAGTATCCGAATTTCGATCACAAGATTGTGGGAATGCTGCAGCGGTTGTAAGAGGGAAAAACAGTCCTAGGCTGCTTTTTTCTCAGTGCCATTGTAATTTTGAACAATCACTGAATAAACTGTTGTAAGTCAAGGCTACCTATGCTATGCTATGCTATACAGTAGAGTACAATATAATGCACACTATATTGTATGCTATACTAAATACTATATATTATGCTATAAACTATACTATATAGTGTATAGTATATACAAGGAGTAATGGATGGAAACTGATCAAGGAGAAATTCAACCTGGAAATAAGGAGAAACTTTCTGACGGTGAGAACAATCAACCCATGGAACGGAAGTTGCCTTTGGAAGTAGTGGGAGCTTCACCACTGGAGGCTTTCAAGAAGAGATTGGACTGCCATCTGTCAGAAATGGTGTAGGGTCTCCCACTTGGGATGGGGGTTGGACTAGATGACCTACAAGGTCCCTTCCGACTCTTTAATCTATATACTATGCACTATGCCATGCTATATTAATCATACATTATGTTCATTGCACAGTCAGCCACATATTCAGACTGGATTTTGGTATTTTTGTTTTTCCAGTATATATCATTGTATCATATATTGAATTACATTGTATTACATTTTAATTTTATATCTCTTTCTACTTCAAGTTTCCTCACTTGGACATCCGAAGGAGCCTTTATAACAGGAAGAAGTGAGAACTCAGGTGAGATGGCTGCCAGGTCGTATCCAGCTGGGACCAACTATAACTCCTATCATCTACAGCCATAGGGTCAAATGGGTGGGGTAGACCAACGCCTTTGGGGGCCAGAGGTTGGGGTTAGGCTAGCCTCCTGAGGCCTCGTTTCTGACTGCAGCAGCATTAATGCAAGACTTCTTTGCTCTCCAGAATGGGGGAAGTGGAGATCTCGCCTCGAGCTTACATCAAGATGTGCCTCCATGCGGCTCGGTACCCCCACATGGCGGTGAACGGACTTCTTCTGGCTCAAAAGCGCCGGCGGACCGCTGGGCCCCCCGAATGCCTCTACATCATGGACTGTGTCCCCCTTTTCCACAGCAACCTGTCGCTCACTGTGATGCTGGAGGTGGCGCTCAACCAGGTTTGTCTCCTCAACATTTAAGAAGCAGAGGCTCGGTCGAACCCCGTAGGATAGCACCAAACAGCCATAACCCCCCCCCCCCCTTTTACCCTGCCCCAGACTTCTTACGTGAACCTTCCGCATCGCCTATTCTTGCAGGTTCGACTCCAGCTCCCATCCTCCCCTCCAAGCAGGCCTGGGATATTAAGCGGTGGCAGTTTTAATCATAAAAGCCGCAGGTTTCTGATCCCACCTGTAGTAATTTCCTGATATTTCACGGGCTTTGGGGGGATATCTTTGGCAAAATGCCATTCAGATAGTCCTTGACTTACAACAATTTGTTGTAACTCAAGTTGCAATGGCTCTAAAAAAAGCGACTTATGACCGTTTTTCACACTTAATGACCATTGCTGCATTCCCGTGGTCGCGTCATCAAAATTTGGTTGCTTGGCAAGTGACTCATATTTAGGACAGTTGCAATGTCCTGGGCTTATGCGATCTCCTTTTGCGTCCTCTTGATAAAGAAAGTCAAACCAGATTCATTTAACCACCGTGTGATTAAATGATCCACATAACAACGGCTGCAAGAAAGTTCTCAAAACAGGGCAAAAGTCACTTTACCAACTGTCTGGCTTAGAAACAGAAATTTTGGGTTCAATTGTGGTTGTATGTTGAGGACTATGTTGAGCAGCCAAACTAAAGTCTGGATTCATACATCAGGCCAAAACATTATTCCTTATTCAAGAAACCGTGGTTTAACGTGACAGGTAAACCAGGGAAATAGAAATTCAGAATAGAATAGAATAGAATAGAATAGAATAGAATAGAATAGAATAGAATAGAATAGAATAGAATAGAATTCTTTATTGGCCAAGTGTGATTGGACACACAAAGAATTTGTCTTTGGTGCATAAGCTGTCAGTGTACATAAAGAAAAAATAAAATACATTCATCAAGAATCATAAGATACAACACTTAGTAATAGCCATAGATTACTAATAAGCAATCAAATCATGGTAGGGAACAAATAAAACAATATAAATTGTAAAGATACAAGCAACATGGTTATAGTCATATGTGGGAAGAGATAGGGAATAGGAAGGATGAGAATAATAATAGTAATGCAGCCTTACTAAAGAGTTTGACAGTGTTGAGGGAAATTAGTTGTTTAGCAGAGTGATGGCATGATCTTGCAGGACTGTGTTTTTCAACCTTGCCCCCTTTAAGATGGGTGGACTTCAACTCCCAGAATTCTCCCAGCTGGCAGGATTCTGGGAGTTGAAGTCCACGCATCTTAAAGGGGGCTAGAGTTGAGCAAACACTATCCTAACCCGCATCCTGAATCTAACAGGTTGCCAACTTCGGCATTCATGCTCTTCACAGGTGGATTCTTGGAGCTCGGAGTCCGACTTGCTCCTTGCTGGTTA